GTCTCCTTCTGGACAACAAGACTGTAGTCAATTCTTAATCGCTGGTGCATTTGGCGATAACCAATACTGTTCCTGCATGGACAAATGCAACGGATTACCGGACAGAAGTTGACCTAGATGACATTGATGTGATTGATGGTGAATGCTGCGACTGAACAAGCCCCACAAATTGTTTGGAGGAATGCAGAGAATTGATTGATATAATATTTGATAGAATATTTGAGCAATGACAATGAAATTTAGAGGGCATATAGTATAGACTGAAAGATGAGCAAACTGATGAAAGTTTATTTCAAGGTTTTAGTGTAACACAACCGTGACAGTGTAAGTCATGCAATCATCAAAAAGTTATCACAAAATATAAATAAATAATACAAAATTTCCACGGGCTCGGACTTCGCAAAATCAAGGTTTACTATACTGATTCAAAGAGCTATGTGTCGTAGTATTGCAACGTACTGCTAAATGATCTTTTTACATGAATAAAACGAACTATCGACCTCAAAACATAGCTCCTCAACTGTGGCAGTCATTGTCGTCCACGGAAACAACATGCATGACAGCCGATTACAGGACCTGACAAGTTTCCATTTATCACGTGATAAATGACAAATTATCGCGCGATAATAATAAAAATTATCGCGCGATAATCTATCATTTATCGCGCGATAAAAAAATGTGTCATGTCCCCTATGGGCCACCGTATTTGCGAGACGGCGATACTAGCGTTTTTCTTTGCGAGCCCGAGACATTTTGACTTTTTAGATTGCGAGACCGAGACTTCAAAGGGTTTTGAGTGCGAGCGCGAGACGTTCAGACTCTTAAATTGCGAGCCCCAGATCTGGTTGAAAGCTATGAGAATGAGCTAGAATGAGCTTGTACAAAAGTCTCACAAAGTATCTTTTTGTTGTAAACCCTTGTACGAAACATCAGATCTGAAAATCTGTCAACATTCAATAAATTCTATTTTTTTTCCATTGCCATGACCTAATTTCCGCTCAGGAGGTTGCACTTGGTCGTTTCCTTTTTATTTTTTGGACTAACGCGCAGTCACTTAAGTTGTCTGGAAGTCGTCCGAAAGAACGCGCGGCCGTGTGGGCACTATAGCTGTTTGGTTAAAAGACGTTAACATTCAGTTCAGAACTTCCCGAATTGAGAACGGAGAACAATTAAAACTTGTTAGAAGGGTTGCAGATGACGATGGAACAAATTACGTGATGAGAGATGGGAAATATCTTATTCAATTGTCGATGTATGAGGCATTGTAAGTTGAGCAGTATAGTAACTTGTTTGTTTCACTGGGAATGCTTGTGCTTTTACACTGTACACAGTTCCTCAAGGGGCAAGAGATAAGTTCTCCGACCTCGTGGATTTCATCATAAGCTATCGTGGGTCAGAGTGTGTGAGTTTTATGATTACCCATTTTAGCCAGCTTCTGTGTACTAGCTGGAACTGGAAATTTGAAAATTTGACCATAACATTACGTTGTGATATCCTAGAACAAAAATAACTGTTTTTTTCTGGCGCCAAAATGACGTTGCGGTAAGTTTCTAGCTTTTTGTTGAACTCAGAGAATTTAGGAGAAGTTAGGATTGACTTTTTCTTGGGAAATTGAAAGTTGCTTTAATGAAATTCAATATCAAGTGACGAGAAGACATCATTTTAAAAAAACCAACAGACGAATCGGGACTGCGAGACCCTTAGCCTTGCAAAAAATCGAGACTCCGAGACACCTTCGTATTAAAAAACGAGACTGCGAGACGCACATAACCACTGAAAAAACGAGACTGCGAGATCTACGAAATTCGACCAAAATTTTGCGAGACCCAGAGTTTTTGAAGGACCATTCGCCACCTCTCATGTTGAGTGTTGAAAACATGAGCTGAGTGCCCTTCCATTAATAGCGTAGTTTTACTTGTGTCAACAGTCATTAATTTTGATGGATCATTTGCTTAAAATTGAAGAAACGATCAGCGTTTCCACAGACCATTCATTTGGTCGATTTCATTTCACGCTTCTAAATATTCCTCATTTTAAAGATTCTCGCTCTTAAAGATTCCCGCGATTAAAGATTCCCCATTTTAAAGATTCACGCTTTTAAAGATTCCCGCTTTTAAAGATTCCCCGTTTTAAAGATTCCCTGTTTTAAACATTCCCCGTTTTAAAGATTCCCGCTTTTAAAGATTCCCTCTTTTAAAGATTCCCCCGTTTTAAAGATTCCCGCTTTTAAAGATTCCCCGTTTTGAAGATTCCCCACTTTGAAGATTCCCCGTTTTTAACCATTTTAAAGTTTCCCCATTTTAAAGATTCCCCATTTTAAAGATTCCCGCTTTTAAAGATTCCCGATTTTAAAGATTCCCGCTTTTAAAGATTCCTCATTTTAAAGATTTCCCATTCCCCATTCCTCATTCCCCATTCCCTCATTCCCCATTCCTTATTTTAAAGATAGCCGATTATTATCAGCCGCTCAGCTTTGAGTGTCAGTTTTCCTCAGGGGACTTCACTGAAGTAGCTCAGACGGTCGATAAGTCAAAACCCATGAGAAGGAAAAGGACCGAGACCTTACCGCTATGTTTTCTTGTTCGCACGAGGGTTGCGTTAAGATGAATCAGCGTCACTATTTTAATTCCTAACATGAGATCGGCTCCTGTCCCAAGATTGATTTTGTTTGTTTTTCTTTTTTCGAAAACCCTATACAGCTCTTTTTTTTTAGAGATTACGGGATTTACTGGGGAATTTTTTTGTCTGCTTTGGACCCAAGCCCAAGCCCAAACTTCC